CATCACAACCGTTTGCACTGAGTAAGTCACAAAACCTGTCGATTACCAACTTCACTTCATCTTCACCATAAACATCATCAAGTCCTTGTTCTGGATAGACTTCAGTGTCTAAAATCTTCACAAGAGCATTGAACAGATTGTCGGTATTGGTAATATCATCAAATCTTCCTTTGAAACATTCAATGATAGTAGAGAGGATGTCATCATTGGCTGATTTAAGGCTGTTTTTTGCCTGTTCGATATGACTCAAGTTGACATCTTTGTAAATAAATTGCTCCTCTTGGTTGGTCAGATTACTGAAGAAATTACTCACACGACCAGTAGTAAAGACAACTTCACTGGACTCACTTAGCTTGTTCATGATGCGAAAAAACTTCTTCACTGCACGTACTGCTTCTACTACATCAATTTTTTCACGCCGGAAAATAAGACCCAACTCTGCTGCTGGCACAAGAATTTCAATGAAGTACTCAACAAACAAAGGGTACTTTGCATTTCTGTATTTGGTATACATTCCCTTAAATTTTTGCCTGTCTGCACTCGTAAACGATTCATCCTCTGTAAGATGGTTAAGAGGGGCAATAAGAAGACCATAATTCTTGCTTATCCAGTTCATTGCCCGGATTTTATGCTCTAGCCAACGAGTTCCACTTGCCTTCACAGGCATCGAAACTGCCATCTCCAGGGCCTCTCCTAATCCTTCCAACTGTACCATTTTCTTTGGACTTCTTTTGTAAAAGGAGTAAACATTCTGAAGCATTTCATTGATATCTGAGAACACTGTTGATTTCAAAGCATCTGCTATGCTCAGTTCAAGCCGATGGCTAGCACAATGTACTGTGACTAGCCAATCAATTCCTTCACCATCCTTCATGAGTACAGAAACACCTCCTCTCACTCCAAGATTGACAGCTGCACCATCAGCACCAAAACCCACAGTGTGTTCCTTAAGTGAATCTACTCCATGATGTTCAAAGGCTTTTTTAATCAATGCTAGTACATCTGTGGCAGTTGCATGTTCCACCTTTTGAAGAGAGAGAAAACGGAGCCTCTGCCTTCCAGTGTCAGGATCCACATAGAGGATGTAGATGACCTCTTTTTCTTTGCTTCTAGCATCTGTGCTGCCATCAACAAGGATTGAGTAGTAATGTACTCTTTTCAACATCTAAAAATACAGATAACAGTACAACTAAAAATATTTAGACTTAAAACTTTCAAAGTAGAGAATCACCATATCCCAATTGGAGTCCACAAGGACCAGGGGGGTGCAAATACAATAACCCGATCTGGAGACTGGAATATCACTTAATTACAACCATTAAATCTAAATGTCAAAACATCAAAAGCACACGAACCTGGTTTAATTCCTCTTCATATATTTCAGCTATAGTGTCAACAAAATCTGCACATGCATGATCGTTTAGGTATGTTTGGCCCAATTCAACCCCATGCCGTTTCTCTAGCTTAGCAATGGCAACAAATTTGGTGAATGGCATCTCTTCTTTGGCAACAACATATGCTATTTCAATCAATTTCTTGACTCTTACTTTCTCATTCTCGTTTAGCTTAAAAAATGCCTTTCCCAGTGGTGTCGCAGCATATGCAGGTAGTGGGCCTGGCTTTGCCTTAAACATCTCTTCATCCTCCAACTTCAATGCAAGCTTGTGTGGTTCCCCATTCATGTGGGTTTTCACAGCATCTAGCTTCACATTTGTTGTACCACGACACCATGAAAAGTTAAAATTTCGCGTGTTTGTTAGCTTCTTTTCATATTTTGCACACAGTTTGCATCGCACAGAAGTTACCCAAACTTCACCTTTGTGCCTATTAGAGTCTACAATTTCCAGCCAATTCCCAACTTTCCATTTCAAAACAGTAGATTTTTTAATATTTCTTGTTGTAGCTAAGACTTAGACGCATTCTTGGACGCAATTTGTTTTGTATATTTAATACAGTAATGGCGGTCCTGAATGCCTGAATGTAGCCTGGGATCTAGTATAGCGCTGGACATTAGTATGCGCCAGCAAATAACACAATTTTATTTAATATCTTTGGCTTTGAATGCTGCACTTGACTTTGTGTTTTATATTTGCACTGGCAATTATTAACACTTTCAAATAATTAAAATTGGAGTTTTTAGTGGTAACTGGTAAGCAAATAAAACGAAACATATCTATAGAATTTCGCCTGCCATTTTATTTTTGACTTGGCAGTTCAAATTTTTTTTCGCCTGCCATTTCTCAAATATGGCCTGCTTTTGGCCATTGGCAGGCCGCTATTTCGAGCCCTGCTGCAAATGAGCCTGCGATGATTAACAAGCGGGATCTATTTAACACAAAGGAAAACTAGCAAAGCAAAATTTTGAACAAACGTAGAAGAAATGTGAATATGGATAGGTTTTCATAAATAAAGTTTTTCATGCGTTAATACTATGTTTATTATTCTTCAAATGTATAAAAAAAAAACAATTATTGGATGAGGTTTTTGTGATATGCAAAATTATCAAGGTCTCGGTCGAGTCCATGCAGTCCATCAAAAAGCTTTGTGCTCAAAGTGCCAGGAGCAGGACTACAAAATACACTGGACCACAGGATCATTACGTCCCTGAAAATTTATGAGATTGGCAAAAAAAATGGAAGGTAAAAAGTCTTAAAGAAAAGAAAGCGAATTTTAGTGACAATCATACTTTACTTACTGTAGTATGCATTTACGCGATGCATTCGTATTTATATCGCATGAACTTGTTCTCACCAAGGCATGTGGTACAACACGACCACATAAACGCATCCAGACATGTGAGAGCGTAATGGGGCCAGAGTGCTCAAACGACAACAAGGGAAGTGAACTTGTTTTGTTGTAGTAGATAATAAAGTGCTCAACACTAGTATTATAGTAGAGCAAGATATATTTATATCTTAAATTAATTATTGCTACTCAAGTTTCACGCCTTATTCAAGACATAGATTACAGTAAGCATGGATAATAAAATAAATGGATAGGACTCTAGCTGACGTAAGCAAAAACAACCTAGTTGCAATCTGTGACGTCACGCGTATTGCAAAGTTCTCGGCATTTCTGTTGTTTCGCTAGACTTTCTGCTTTAAAAGAGTAATATTGAAGCATGAACTGGTCTAATTGTTTGAAAAACACGCCTAAGCCACGACAAAGTATTCAAGGTAAATGTTTTTCGTCTTTGTTTTGTATTTTTTTACATTTGTAGCTACGAAATTGACGTCCCCAATTTTAACGAAATTTGGGATGCATTTTTCACTGTTTAGTGCTTGAAATATTAGCTAAAATTGACTGGGAATGCTTAGAGATTTCATCGTAGAATGGCGTAGTTATATTCATTTGCTCTTTGACTAAAATGTTTAGCTCTATTATTGCTAAACATGCCGTTTTTGAGAATTTGGTTTGTAACTAGGTTTCAACATCCAATCACGCCATCAGTCCATTGAAAACATTAGGTCACGTCAGCTAGTTTCCTATCCATCTATTTTATTATCCATGCAGTAAGCATGGATAATAAAATAAATGGATAGGAAACTAACTGACGTGATCTAATGTTTTCAATGGGCTGATGGCGTGGTTGGATGTTTGAAACCTAGTAACTAGTTGCAAACCAAATTCTCAAAAACGGCATGTTTAGCAATAATACAGCTAAACATCTTATTCCTAGTCAATTTTAGCAAATAGTATTCCTAGTCAATTTTAGCAAATATTTCAAGCACTAAACAGTGAAAAATGCATCCCAAATTTCGTTAAAATTGGGGACGCCAATTTTGCAGCTACAAATGTAAAAAAATACAAAACAAACACGAAAAACATTTACCTTGAATACTTTGTCGTGGCTTAGGCATGTTTTTAAAACAATTAGACCAGTTTATGCTTCAATATTACTCTTTTAAAGCGGAAAGTATAGCAAAACAACAAACATGCCGAGAGTTTTGCAATACGCGTGACGTCACAGATTGCAACTAGGTTGTTTTTGCTTACGTCAGCTAGAGTCCTATCCATTTATTTTATTATCCATGCAGTAAGTAAGGACAGATGTGTAACTTCAGTAAAAAAGTTGTCCTATGGTCGCCATCTTCCTAGCAAGTGTCGCTCGCGTGATTATTCGTCATTTGGTAGTACGTCATTGCCTTCAAAAATGTTTTCAACACCTTTTCTACAACTTTAATTGCTTTTAACAACTTTAAACATTCAACAAATGATGCTCTTGATTATTTAATCCATAAATTTCGATCCAAGAAAGCAGCAATAAAATGCAAAAGTTCATGTTTTCCAGGACGCCATCTTCCTAGCAAGTGTCATTGCGTGAGCATGACGTGTACATCTATAGGGAAATTTGAGGACACGAAGCCCTTTTAAGTTACACATCTGGTATATACTTCATCTGTGTTCAAGACGATCTTCAGGCAATTAATTCAGTTGGTGTTTGATTCGTCAATATCAACGGTCGCTCGCTGACGCCAGAGTAGAGACATACAGAGACGTAACTGACCGTCGTAAACATTCCGCAGTGTTTACGACGGTCAGTTACGTTATCATGTACCCACTTTTTTTCAGGCGACCGGGCAAAAAATGATCAACTGCGCGTGCTCATGCAGCAAGTTTAAAGCGAGTCATCATCAGGTCGTCATCCAATCAGATGCATGCATCTAGTAACTTGCCGAGCATGCGCACATGTAAATCAACATGAATCTGTATCACATATACAGACTCCTTCACGCCCATGATTTTTCTTTGTGTTTTCTTCATGAATTATTAATGAGTTTTTTAACATTATATTTAACAAATATAAAACATTTTCCGTGTTGATATACAGTTATATCAACACGAGTGGAAATTGGGAAAACGAGAAATTGTGTGGAAACACGACGCCCGAAGGGCGGAGTGTTTTCACACAATTTCGAGTTTTCCCAACTTCCACGAGTGTTGATATAACGATATATCAATACGGAGAAAATGTTTTATATTTGTTTTATAATATAGCAATGTCAAAAGCCCGAAGAATAAGAAAAATTTCCGTGTTTACAAGCGGCGGAAAATTTCCCGTGTTGACATTGAGTTATATCAACACGGCTCTTAGCCAATCAGCGTTCAGAATTTACAAATGCTATATTATAAATATATATATATATATATATATGTATATTATATATATATATTATATATATATATATAATATATATATATATATATATATATATATATATATATATATATATATATATATATATATATATATATATATATATATATATATATATAGTATATACTATATTGTATATACTATATTGTATATACTATATAGTATATATATATATATATATATATATATATATATATATACTATATATATATATATATATATACTATATATATATATATATATATATATATATATATATATATATATATATATATATATATATATATATATATATATATATATATATATATATATACAGTACAGCCCTAATGAAAGTTAACCATTCTCGCTCGATGTTATCGAGGAAAATGTTTCGAGTATCGAGATCTCGAAACCCACTCGATAAAAATTCTCGCTCGCTCGATAGGCTTCTCGAAACGCGCTTCGCGTTACTCGATACACAAGAATTTTGCGAGAAATCTCGATGCAAACATTCACGAGAATTCTCGCAGCGCTATACTGCGTGTAAAATTTTTCGCATACGTGAATAATCTGCAACTACTGGTAGAAGTAACGTTGCTTCGCAAGTCCGTGCGAGTCAATTCTTGACGGCTGATCTTTAAGGACAACATTAAAATCCAGAAACATTAAAATCCACAATCAATATTTTGAAATAAAGACGAAATACAATCTACAAAAATAAGTATTATTTTACCTCCAAAAGATATCAACTTCGCTTTCCATGCCTTTCATTGCAGTATCGCTTAGACGTCACTTCCTTTGACCGCGATGATATGACTATATACTTTATTTGCGCTCAGTAACGTCTCACGCGACACCACTATCAGCGTAAAAGTAAAACTTCGTCAAGTTTCTTGAAGACATCGCGTTCTTATTTCTATTTCTATAATATCTCTCAGAGCAGGCTCACCGACAGAGATCAAAACAGTAATGAGCCTAAGACGTTTCAGATCTCAGTATAAATCAGACAGCATGTTTTTCACTGACATCATCTGTAATGCTCTTTTGTTTTCGATAATCCATACGAGACAATAAGTTGTCGGTGGAGTTCCTGTTATTGTGGTTGTAAAGATTGTGCATGAATACAGCTATCGGTTACTAAATGCAATCAACCGAAGCGAACTAACATTATTTATAGCCTAAGGCTATAATTATATAGATTGTTTTGGTGTATATGAGTCACACCGTAAAATTTTGGAAATAGTTTATTTCTAACGATAACGAGTACGTTGAGCTGCTAATTCTAATAAAGTATATAATAGAAAGAGAGTGTTTTTTACTGACACTAACATGTAACACTTCGAATAAACAGACGCTGACTTACACAGGGAATTTTGTTTATCTTGAGGTTGGTAAAGGTGAGTAACGAAATAATATAACCGCTATCACCCTATCATAATTATATTTTTAGGGAACTGGTAAATATATGTCAAAATACGTGACGTTTTCCATGCAGTCCATGACAGGCTACAACTAGAAGGTATGAATATTGTTTATAAACTT